TTCAGGTGTTTCTAGCTTTGAGTCTTTTTGACGAGGCTTATTTGGTGATTTGAACTTTTGAATTTTGTCTTTTCTTTTCTTTTCTTTTGATATTGTCCATTTTTGTAACTTTTAATCTTCTTTTCATTGTAAAAAAACAAATAAAACTGGTTTGTATTCTGTACATTCCAACCAGAGTGCAGTGCTGCTGGTCTCTGAGGGTGTCTGCGTAGTCTCCATGAGGTCAGAGAGCTCTTCTCCTGGGAGGCTGACAGCACTGAATGATTGATATGAATATGAATAACGGAGCTGCTACAAGCTGAGCTTCAATGTTGTTCTTCAGTCTCATGTCATTCACTAACTCGTTGGCTCAGATAGTGTTGATGCTCTGCTGGTTTATCATGCTTGGTGTTCATGTGATTACAGGACTTAGACATAACTGTTGTGTTTGTGGTGAAGCAGTAGGGGGCAGATTGGGACCTGATTTGAGGGTGTTGGGGTCAGAGTCCTGAAGCTGACCTTCATAACCGAGGGAGGATCCCAACCCCACAGGGTTCCTCCTCCTGTTGTGGCCTTTTAAACAGGTCCATCCTGGACTACTTCCAGTCCTCCACCACCTGTTGCGCACACAAGCCGTTGATATCCGGCTGTCGGGGAGGCCGACTTCTTAGTCTGAAATAAGTGATGCAGCAGCAGCTAGTGTTTTAGGAAGGAAGCCTTTAAGTTACATAAGAATGTAGGTCTGATACGAGCCCACCTTGACCTGAGGGTGTTCTGTGAGTAGAGTTAGTAAAGCCAGAGAACAGGCCAGACTGCAACAGATGCTCATAATGAGCTGAAGGCGTTCCTAAATGAAACTCCTTCTCACACGTTGGTGTTCATGGAGGATTCACCGTTTACATACAAACTGAGATCAATCTGATGAATAGGACTCAAACCAGCTCAGTGCGGTTCCTTTATCAAAGGTTCTAGTCTCTGTTGCAGGATGTGATGGTCAATGGTGTTGAAAACAGCACTAAGGTCTAACAAGACCAGAACAGAGACAAGTCCTCTGTCTGATGCCACTAGAAGGTCTTTACTCATGTTCACCAGTTGTGTCTCTGTGCTGTGATGCTCTCTAGATCCTGACTGGAAATCCTCAAATAAACTATTGTTCTGTAGAAAGTCACACAACTGATTCAGGACTACTTTCTCAAGGATCTGAGAGAGGAAGGGAAGGTTAGAGACCGGTCTCTAGTGAGCCAAGTCTAGTGGACTAAGAACTAGAAGAAGCATTCAGAGATCTATTGTTGTTAGTCACACAGTAACACTTCACTTGTTACCACCATGAGTAATCTTCACTGCCTTTTCAATGAATTCTCAACACTACGTGCTTTACATGCATTATAGATATTTAGTGCAGGAAGCAACAGCTCATAAAACGTCCATTTCTTCAGTTCATGACAGTCTCACGGTATCCTGTCCCGGACTTAAGGAGTCCTGTGAGTTTCAGGATCCTGGGGGGCTGTGAGAAGGGGGTGAGGGGCGGAGGCCGAGCGGAGAGGTGTCGATCCTTATTCCTCTCCCTCACCTGCATGAAGTAAACGGTGAATCAACGCTGTCATCTGCACATGACTCGAGTGTTATCCACATATTCATACATGTGTTTGTGATCCAGATGTTATTTGATCTGAGGCAAACACCCAGTCAGTGTCAGAGACGTCACACATCACATGGTGTAGTTCTACCAGCTGTCCACCAGGTGGCCCCATCTAACATCAGTGAACTACAGATCAGCATCATCAGCTGCTGTCACTTATCCTCTGATGAACAGCAGGACAGAGTGAAGCTGAAGATCATCCTCACGGCTGTAAGCTCCTCTACATGTACATCTGTATATGACTCATGTTATTAACGTGTGGAATCACATTTGTTTTTGTTCTTCTGGGAACTTTAACAATCAACATGTGACACACACTTCATGTTGTAGGTCCGTTATGGTCACATGAAGACGACTACTTTCTTTACCAGCTTTCATGCTGTGATCAAAGTTCTGTGTTAAATGTCTGACGAGGAGAAAACAGTAAATGTTGCTCATGTTTCTCTGATCTGAAGAGGTTTTATTTAATATGTATTTCAGAGGATATTTCATCAGACTGTCTCTTCACTGAGTATATTATCACAACATCTTCATCTTGTCCAGTGTGGAACCATCGTCACCACTTCCTGTTCTCACTCATCAAGTGTTTATGTCTGCGCCAGCTCAGGAAGTTCAACCTGCCTCAGGAGCTGCTGATCCTGTTCTGCTCCACCATCATGCAGTCTGTTCTCTGCTCCTCCATCACTGTGTGGTTCGGATCGGCCACCAAACAGGACAGGAACAGACTGCAACGGACTGTCAGGTCTGCAGAGAGGATCATTGGTTCCAGCCTGCCCTCCATCCTGGACTTGTTCACCTCCAGATCACTGAAAGATCACTGCAGACCCTTCACACCCTGGACTCAAGCTGTTCCAACTCCTCCCCTCTGGAGGGCGCTACAGAGCTCTGTACGCCAAAACCACCAGACACAGGAACAGCTTCTTTCTGCTGGCCGTCACTCTCATGAACAATAAATAATTCACACTGCACTACGACCTCTGTTTGCACTGTTACCTTAATTCCATTGTTGTTGTATAGGTTTGTGTTCATACGTCGTTAAATGTTTATACTTACATCTACTCTACTTGTTTTGTTGTCCTTGTTTTATTTTTTGTATTTTTCATGTTTATTTGTAAACTTGTGTATGTGCGTTGAGAGCAAAGTGAAAACCGGAGTCAAATTCCTTGTATGCGTTCGCATAAATGGCCAATAAAGCCGATTCTGATTCTGATTCTGACACATCAGCCTCCTACACATTATGTTCCCATACACAGTAACGACATTACCTGTCGAGGGAAACGTATTTTCTACCAGATTACGTTTGTTTTTGATGTGTCATTAATACATTTCTAATAATATGAGTAGCAATGGAGGAATGGGTCAAACAAACACGGGACTTTCACTCAGGAGACCGATGTTTGTGATCCGTGTGAAACCAAAAGTCAACTTTGACTTATTGTCATCTATGTCCGTAACATATATAACCTAACAAATGTACTTATTTTAATCAACCAAACTGTGATGTTTTTACAAAACCTAACCTAGCATGCTGGTCTCAAACAGCGTTCACAGTTATACCTAGAATAAAAAATAATAGATATCCAACAAAGTCATTTGAAAGAGGAAGTATAAATACCACAGAAACCCACACAGGGACGGTGAAAGTGGAGATGGATGTTTCCAACAACCAGCGATCGTTCAGCCAGGAGGCCGCAGTATTTTTGTTGTATAAAAAACTCCCAGAATGCTTTGTGTTAACTTCCAAAGAACTTTCCTGTACTTAAGTGATGATGGATGTGTTTATTTTCCTTTCTCAAAGTTTAAAACTTTAACAAACATCTGGAACAGTTTAGAGTGAAGTTTTCCTTCGACCACTGAACTGGCTTTGTTTCATCGTCACATGTGTTTTGTGGTGCGTGTGTGCTATTAATAAACATGTTTAGATGTGAAAAGCACTCGTCTGATATAAACTACATTCTGCTGTTGTCTCCAGCTAATCCACTGCAGAGATTTAAAGAGGCGCGTCATCAGTTTCCTGTCGTCTTCAGGTGTAAACCTGTCACAGTTACATAACCCACCACAGGGAGCCTCATGGCCGCTTTATCTTCAGATGGGATGTAAACAGAGATCACGTTCTACTGTGAACTGTGTGTACACGGTCATAAACGGGGCGGAGCGTCGTAGTAAGCTCCTTCATGTAAGAACAGAAGGTTGTTTTTGTCCTCTGTGCAGAGTGGTCACAGCCTGCTTTGACTGTGACTGTGATAAATGAGGATAATGTGCATGCTGCAGCACGACGATAACGCTGAGGTTTGAGTGCAGCAGATGTTTGTAGACTGACGGACGCTGGAGGCCCTGTGAGGCTGGACTGTGGTGGTTTGAGCTAAATGCTAACATGCTGATGTTTAGCAGGTAACATGGACCATGTTTGCCTCGTTGGTTTAGCGTGTTAGCATTAACTTATTATCAGTCAACACAAAGTAGAGCTGAGGCTGAATGTCTTTAGTTCAACATGTTGACCTGATGAACAGTCGGTTATTACAGTTCATCCTCAGGGGAGCACGAACAACAACCACATTTCATCACAATAACGGTCGTTGAGTGTATTTCACGAGTATTTTTGAAGGAGGACATTCATCCTCTGGGGACCCTGAATGTCTGAACCTCAGTTCATGACGATCCCTTTCATTGGTGGACAGAATGACTTGGTCACGCTGCTCAACATGGAAACCAAAAAACTGAAATGAAAGAGTGTTCAGGCTCATTTGACAGTGTGAAGTGTGTGTTTGTTGCTCAAAGATAAAAGCAGAAATGATTTTATCGATGGTGGAAGTGCTCACTCAGGTTTCATGAAGGGAAACCAGCAGCTCTCTCGCCTTCAGCTGTTTCAAACTTGTCGACCTTTAAGAGAAGCTCTGGTGTGTTTACATGCAGCTGTATGAACAGTGTGTGTGTGTGTGTGTGTGTGTGTGTGTGTGTGTGTGTGTGTGTG